GTGTGAAAGGAATGGAAAACAATAAGGGGTTGGAGGGTTTTAATTAGAATTTACCTAAGCCAAGCAAGGCAGAGACAAAGGTAGTTCAAACTAGGACTGTTCTCTCGAATTAATTCCCATAGCTTAGGCTATATGTAAAAGGCGGATTCGAATTCTATTTGAAAAGTTCGATGGACTGGGATGAATAAACTTGGAATCACACTCAATACTACTGTCCACTTGGTGACCGCTATCGTCACTCAAGTGAGTCAAAATAGAACTTCTCATAGATTTTATTTGGCATTTCCCAATGAACCATGAAGGAAGATGCTCGTTAATACGTTTTTCAAACTGTCTAGTTGTTAGCCCTATATAGCCAGCTTTCTCCGCAGGAGCAGCTAAATTTGTAGATACACATAGAAGTGGCACAGTTAAGCAGTTTATCTTTCGCCTGAGTAATCATAATTGGTCAGCAGCTGGAAAATGACAAACCAAGGGTGGCGACAGTGCAAGTCCGTTTTATTACTCTCGATAATCTTAGATATAAGACTTCACTAGTCGCGTCTCCACTAATTTGGAATTTTAAGAACAGTTGTTTCTTTATAGCTGTTGTCAGTTTCTCCACATTATACCTGGTGTTCATGTGCCTGTCTCCTTACAAATCTACTAGGATAAGCCATTTGGACAAGAGTATTTCGGATGTATCCTAATTCATTTTCTAGTGAGTCATCTGTACAGACAGATCCTTCTTGCTCTATTCGTGGAGCATCTGACCAAACTGATTTTGTATCGGATCGGCACAAAACTGGCGAAATGTGTATATTGTTCTACAGATGTAGGTATTCTATAAACATCTCTCTTGAGTGAACCATCCCCTCTTCTGCTCAATTGGACGTCAATGAAATGTAGTCTACCATCACAGGTGAAGATGAGCGATGGATGTGCATCATTAAATTTGTCTTATTACCATTTCATTCTTGTCAGCTTTCACATCAAGATTAATGATAAACGTATCATCAACAGAAGTGGATTTTCTATAGATATCTATCTTGAGTGAACCATCCTCTCTTCTGCTCAACTGGACTTCAAGAAAGTGTAGTCTACTATCAAAACTATCCCACTCTTTCTTATCTTCCATTTTCTTTCTACTTTTACCATATTTAGTTAAATTCTAGCTAGCTGTCCACTTCACCTTTATTATTACGTAACTTTTAGGATTTGACCTTACTTATTTAATTGTCTGCATATACACCTAAGACTACCTTCGTTATTCTTCATTATTGTAGGAGTTTTTGTATTTCCCGATGAAACAATGAAAGACAAAACGATATTGTTGTGGTTTTTACTGACGTTTCGCTATTTAATGCTGATGTTGATAGCTTTATCAAAGTAGCATTATTAAACCAGAATTTAGAAAATCCACTCAGCTTATATATATATATATATAATAACAACTTAATCATCGTTCATCAGCATGGGGTTAGTTTTTGCATTGTTAAGTTGGTAAAGATAAATAACCATCATGTGTAAATTGTTGGATTTGATAAGCGTATAAAATTATAGAAACAGCATATGTTTATATAAAGAAACTGCTTATCACATTCGTGTTCATTTTGTCACTTTAAACAGAGGTGGGAGTGTTGCAACCAGGTCTAACTATGTCTTAATTCCTCGTTCCTATTCAGACAATTTGTATTACATATGATGTGAATTGGTTCTGATATCAGACGTTCTTTTTGATTTCGGAAACTTTTCTGCACTATTTCAATATTCTTAAAATCACCGCCGTTGTGACTTGATTCTATAGCGTGTATACCTATGACTGGCTGATGATTTTTCAAGCTTTTCTAGTTCACTAACTGGATTTCTCAGTGGTTGGTAGAACAGAGGCGGCTCTACGGTGTTTATTTCTTCTGACTGCGTTGATTTCTGTGCGACAGTGTTTGTCCGATGTCGCATCACATTCCAAGCATTTTATTTTATAGACACAATTAGATAGAGAATCTTTAGGGATTTGGTATTTTATATGGACAAGGTTGCTTTGTAGTGTGTCTGATGTTTTGAAGAAAACTCTAATGTCAAGTTTATTGAGTACTCTTCTGATATCGTCTGATGTCTCTGCTCTATATGGAATGACACCCCGAATAGGACGAAATGCGCATCCTGGATTCCACTGCTAGCTACCATCCACCAATTGTATACAAATCGAATTCCCAGACATCGTCGAAGCATCTGCACAAGAAGCCGACATAGTCAACCTGAGACCGAGCACTTCGGTCCAATCAATCGACGTGAAAATCAAAAATTCAGTTCAATAATTAATATGACCCGTTGCACATGAGGTGGCTCTCGTGGCCCAAGTGGTCTAGTGGATAACGCTTTGGCGTTTGAAACTATGGGCCTCAGGGGGAACATCATCACTCATTCACTGAGAAATGCAGGTACATCCAGCTGACGAGTCCCAAATAGGACGAAATGCGCATCCTGGATTCTACTGCTAGCCACCATCCACCAATTGGAATGACAATTGTTGATTTCCATGTTTTCGGAATGCGTTTTCGGTCATACTTAATGTCAGTGCTGATTTTACTGATGGCGTTCCTTGGGTAGTTGTTTTGCTTGAGAGTCTCAGTAATGTGTCTGATATTTCCCCTTCCTCTTTTTCCTTCTCATTCGTTAACATCAAAGAATGTGTTCGTCTAAGAAGACTAGAAACACAAGTGGTACCTTCGCGCTGATGAGGTGTGATTATCCAAAGTCTAAATATTTGCTAGGATGGGTTTCCTTCCTGAATATGGATAGATATACTAAAATGTGCGTTCTCCCTCTTCTTAACTAGGCAAGCAGTCCAGAAATGGTAATTCCTCAACGACTGATTCTGCTTCCGAAGTAAACTGGATTCGTTTTTTTTGTTTTTCATTCATTCGGAAATACAAGGAAACCTTTATTATATAATGAATATCACATACACCCAATGCCCAAATTTTTTTCAAACTGCTAAAAGTGAACTTTTTTTGATTTGCAGCTTGATTCCACACTGTATTTTTGGTACAAGTATGGAATTTTCAGCATGGATATCGGTAGCCCAAATTTTGCAGGCCAACCGTAGATATCAGGTGTGCGCCGGCGTGGGCTCGAACCCCGGACCATGTGCATGGTCGGCGAGAGTCCTAACCACTGTGCCACCGACGCATATATATATATATATATATATATATATATATATAGAGAGAGAGAGAGAGAGAGAGAGAAATCTACGTAAATTAAAGTACAGTCTGAAGATCTAATTGAAAACAGTAATATTGTTCGCTTACATGTCTTGTTCTAACATTAATACTAATGGGAATACTTAAAATAGAGTTGTGAGTCGAATTGAACTATAAAAGCTTTGTTAGTCATTTTAGAATCTTCTATAATTATTAAAGAGTAAATTCGAACAAACACATGCATTTGTAACAGACTGAAGTTCATGTAGTCAGGAGGATTTCAAAAATAAGACAGATTATCTTTTTCATACAAACTCCACAACGTAGACAAGATTATTTCAATTAGATGGTTGAAGGCAGTTGGCCAGCCACATGAAGCCTTCGACCCAATCGAGGTTTCGTGCTGGTTGGCACTCACTCAACAGCCAGCCAGCCAGTCAGTCAGTAATTAAGGCGCATCTGCAACATGCGAGGAACCCACTGTCCTTCTGACATTCGAAGCCCCGCGTCACCCATTGCTACCTTTGCTGTCAGCGACGTTACAACTGAGCCAGCTATTCGGGCTTGTGACTCACCTCTTGTAGAACTGACTGTATTGGATATTATTTTTGATTGGGCAATAGTCAGTAACTACTGTATCGTGTGTATGCCTAGTCCTATCGTTGGTGCAGACCGAATCCTATTAGTCGAGTTTGCAGTATGGCTAGTATGCCACTAGGTCTGTCTGTCTGTTTTCGACATAGAACTTTGCACACATGTGCGCCAGTTCAAGTCGCCACACTCCCTCCATGCACCACACAAAGCAACACAAGAAAGTAGAAGAAATGCATAATAGAGACAGTAAACAGAGATGTAAGACAAAAGAATAGTATTAACGAAGAACAATATAGTCTCATTGGAAATCATAAGTTACAATGAGTGGATGCATCTTTGCCATTCACAACGATTTTGAGCAATGTCACCAATTATCTCCAGCCTTCATTGATGTTTACGATACCGAGGACTCCAACCAGTCAGGAAGTCTACACCTCCATACGTGACAAGCCTAAACTAAATGTTGTGGATTTCAATGACTGATGAAGCCATGTTTTGGTTACACCGCCGCTGGCTAGCTCTTCTCCAGCCTGATCCTATATCAGCCAACATTTCCCATTGTCTAGGAAGGCGATGACTAGGCATACGTAAAACATGTCCTAACCATCTCAGTCTATGTAACTTCACAACCTCGTCGATTGATTCCCCCTCTCACCTGCCTACCACTCGACCGACACATAACCTCAATAGTGCTCACCCTACTATACCACTTCACACGGGAGATAGAACGCAGGCATCTATGATCAAAGACAACTACCCAGCCTTCTCATGTCTTCCACTCTCAATGGCCAAGTCTCACAGCTAGCCGTGAAGGAGGACGGAGCGGACTGATGAGCGGTACACCCACCCTTTGGTCGAAAACCAGCCAGCTGGATATCATGTCTACACCAGAGACGGTGTAATTTGGCATATGCGAAACTAGCCCTCTGTATCCGTGCTGAGATTTCGTCAGAGATCAACCCATTGGCACTGGCTGATGCAACTCCCCAAATAAGTGAAGCGGTCAACGAGCTCCATCAACCACTTCACTCCCTATTTCTAAACTAGGAGTCAGTGTAGTCCAGTGCCACTAGGTGGCTCGCCCTCACAATATCCTGTGAATTGTTAGTATAGGATGGTTGGAGGTAATCGACAGGAAACCTGACTGATAGGATTTAGTCTGCACCAAAGATACGACTAGACACTGACTAGTGTCCAATCACAAAAAAGATTATTTCTAACCTGGAATGCGTAGTAGCGGCGGAAGCAGCAGCAGTAATCGGATTCACTTGCGGCGTATCGTTTCTCACCAACTTTTTCCACAAAGCCTGAATACTCTTGATCCAAGAACCATAATTAATTGTTTCTGACCCATATCCACCACTACTATTGTATGTTTGATTTGTAGCCTGCAAGGGTAAAACCGCCTGTTCCAAGGTTGCCTGCGATCGATACGTGTAGACATAGGAGGAATTCGCCGACGAAAGCTTTAAACCACCACGACCGCCATCTGTGTGGGATTTTGTTTGCTCCATAGACAATAATCGTTCAGATCTGCGAGACCTTCTTGTTCTTGTAGATGATGAATTAAGCGATGGGTTTATTCGGTCATCTTCGATGGTTACATCGTCGATATCAGTTGGATTATTGGTATTTGCTTGCGATTCATACGACGCCTAAAATCAAGGGGATAACAGAAAGGCAAAAAAATAGAATATACTGAATGAATATTAGTAGCATTTTTAATTCAATGACGAATTTCAAGAGAAGTAATAAAGCTGGTGTGGGTACATCTTTCACTGACGTTGTTTTGCAAATTCGTGAATTGATAGGACCCAGCATAGAATAGTACAATAGTACAATATCTTACAGTCGCAGGCCAGCCTTTGTCTTTTGATATTTACGTGGCTCAATGAATCAATCAGGGTGTGTCGGCGACATAGCGGTTAGCACGCTCGCCGACCATGCACATGGTTCGGGTTTCAATCCCCGGCCGCCAACACCCTCCTTTACCTCGCTAAGCCAGAAATAATGCTCGTAAAGAGGAAAGGTTGGGCGTGAGGCGGCTAGTAACCCCATCCTGTAAAATAAACACAAAGGCTACAGAAATTTCAAGCCATTAGCTTGAAGCCCTATGTTCGACTGGGGAACGTGAAGGAAACAAATGAATCAATCAGAATGTACAACGGACAAATAGACACATATTAGCGTACTAGTAGAGTTCATTACCGTTATTAGTAATTAACAGGTGCAGACATAAGCAAACAGCGACGGATTTATTCAGTTCAGTAATAACACGAATCCAGTGAGTTTGTTTAACAAAAATTTCCGTTACAGTTTGATACTCATATAAAATAAGCGTTGGAAATCAGACCTAGTTCCAGAAAAGTCTACTGATGTTGTAATCTATTCTATATATATATATATATATATTATAGCTGATATAGGTGCAGGTTGGAAAAGAGTAAGTGGTGGCCAAAAGAAAACATATCATCAATCCATGAAATCCTTGACAGTTAAACTGGGTCAGGTAGGTAGGGAGATGCAGACTTCCGGGTTGAGGCCCTCGGGACTCTAAGAATCAATGGCTGGAGACAATAGGTGTGACATGGTTCAAAATCGTTGTCAATGACAGCGCAGATGTATTCAGTCTCTGTAATCTTTCATATTCCTTTCTACCATTACCCATTCTGTTTCGCTTTTATACTTGTGAAACTCTATTGATTCTCTTCACTCATCTTCTTGTCTACCTTTGTGTGGTATTTGGAACGTGGCAACTCGAAGTGGTGCACTTCGGTGCGAAGTTTTATGTTGAATCCAGACAGACAAACAGATAAAGTGTATCCAGTATCGGATTTTGCCGAGCACTATACTACTATAACAGTCTCATAAATATCGAAGTTTGTGGGCGGTTTCCTTCCTTAAAGGAAATAATAGTCTAATATGATCAAATCAATGTGCACCGTGATTGCCACATTGCAAAACCTGACTGATAGAATTCAGTCTGCAGCAAAGAAAGGACTAGACACATCACACCAGTTACTAGTGTCCAATCAAAATACCCACTACAGTCCTTCAGGAGGTTAATCGCCAGCCCGAATCGCTGGCTTAGTGGTAACGTCGCTGACAGCAGTAATCACTGGGTAACATGGGTTCGAATCTCCGGAGGAGGGACATGAGTTCTTTCAAAGTTGAAGATACGCCTTGCTGATGAATGCGAACTAGCACGAAACCTCGATTGTGTCCAAGGCTTCCTGTGGCCGATTGCCTCCAACTATCTAATATCATCGAAATAATAGTCTGCTAACGGGTTTTGTGAAAAGGTGAGTGGAACGCGCTTCTGGAGACTACTTAAAATACCATGCTCCACTACCCCCCCCCATGTAGATGCTTCTGCTCACTATTTCGTAGGAAATAAAGAAGACGAATTCAGCGCAGAAAATTCTCTTTATCGACGAAATCATCTTCGCAGGCTGTACAGTCGTATTTACATTTACTAAAAATGTATAGTATTCTATTATTGAGTAATACGGGGTACCATAAATGATATAAATACTCAGAAGTGACTTTAGAAGTAAAACTCAAAGTTGTAAACTACGTCTATCTGTCCGTTTTCAACATAGAACTTTGCACCGATGTGCACTAGTTCAAGTCCGCACACGCCTCCCATGTAGCACACAAAGCAAGAGAAAAAAGTAAAAGAAACGCATAATGGAGACAGTAAACAGAGGTGTAAGACAAAGGAATAGTAATAACGAAGAACAATATAGTTTCATTGGAAATTATAAGTCACAAGGAGTGGATGCGTCTGCGCCAGCCATTGAGAATGTTTTCGAGCCATGTTACCAATTGTTTCCAGCCATTGGATTTTACAGTCCCGAGGACCCCAACCAGCCAAGAAGTCTACACCTTCCTGCGTGGCTTAGACTAACTGTTGTGGATTTCATTGACTGGTGAAGCCATGTTTTGGTTTGACCGCTGCTGGCTAGCTCTTTTCCAGTCTGACCCCATATCAGCTAATATTTCCCATTGTCGAGGAAGGCGATGACTAGGCATAGGTAACACATATCCTAACCATTTCAATCGGTGCAACTTCACAGCCTCGTCGAGTAATGAACAACGGCACAAAGGGAGAAAGAGTTAGAAATTTGACACGGTAAGAAACTGTTATTGAGTGAAAACAAAAGGTGGTAGTTGAGTTGAGACAGATTACGTCCCTTGCAAGTGTAGTGATTGAACAAACTCTGCATACAGAACAAGTTCTACATGTTCAAACCAAGTTCACTTTTAACAGTTTGAAAAAAAGTTGGGCATTGGGTATATGTGATATTCATTATAATAAAAGGTTTTCTTGTATTTCTCAATAAATGCGTGAAAAACAAAACGATATTGTTACTTTTACTGACGTTTCGCTATTTAATGCCAATAGCTTTATCAAAGTAGTATTATTAAACCGGAATTTAGAAAATCTCAGAACAAGTTCGTTCAATCACTACACTCGCAATGGACGTAATCCGTCTTAATACCCGACAGGTATATTCAACTGTAATATTTTACACTTTCAACTTTCTTGTTGTCTATTCCTTTTGTTGTATGACCCTGTTTACTGCCTGATATATATATATATATATATATATATATATATATATATGGTGGTCTCTCTTTCTGTTGCTCTCTTAGTCTGTGACCATTTCACTCTGATGAACCTGTCTCCTTTAACAATGTATATTCCCCTTATATTATATATAATATGTGTGTTCGTTTGACAGTCTGTTATATTTCGCTATGTATATATGGATCGATATTCCATTATAATTAGCCAATCATGTTAAGACTGTCTATTGATTTGTTCACTCACTTGTTCGGACATTCATATATATTTTGCTCTCACATACTTGTGTGATTTTGATTCTCCTTGTGTTTGGAAAATAGAAGTATCATCGCAAACCTAGTGGACTTCTGATTTCCGTCTTTCTTGCATCAGGACTATTAAATTCTCGACCAGTACATAATAATAATTTGGCGACGGGGAAAACTCAATTAATTCACTCAGCAGCAGTACATAATACTGCCTCTATTTTGAATTTTTTCTACTCTCTTCTCTTGCTTTGTGTGCTACATAGAGTGTGGTGACCTAAACTGCTGCACATCGGTACAAAGTTCTATGTTGAAAACAGACAGATAGATGACGTAATACAATTGACTAAAATGTTTCAACCTAGGTCAGGATATCAACACAGGTAATTACAGGTAGGGACTAAGTAGACGTGGGGTTAGAGAATAATGCCATTTAAATTAGGACTGAAATTAAGCAAATGGACAATCTCAAGAGAATACTCTTTGAGAACGATGTATTGCAAAATCTATGAATCCTAGACCACAAAAGTTGCCCATGCTCAGCGTCCCGAAAAAACTCGTCTACATGAACCTTCAATTCAATGGAGATTCATCTGCGGAAACACTGAAAAATCGACTGTCCCGTTCACTTAAGAAAACCTTCTTCGCAGCTGAACTACGATTAGCTTTCTCTGCGAAATCGATGATTCGTATGAATGTAAAGGATAAGCTACCACTGCTGGCCTCATCAATGTGTATCTACCAGTTTACCTGCTCGTGTGGAGCCAGGTGTGTCGGCCGTGCCCAGCTTTCTCTATCCAAACGTATCACCGAACACTTACCAGCATGGTTTTACAAAGGAGAAAATCGATGCCCCCGAAGCTCCATCTTAGAACATCTGATAGATTCCGGACAACAAGCTACACCCCAAACAAACTTCAAAGTCGTCTACAGAGTAAGAAGTAGTCTTCCTAAAGGTGTACGAATCAGACTTCTTCAAACTGCAAAAGCAACGGCGATTCACTTGCTAAGTCCTGAACTCAGCGTACAGAAGAAGTTCGTTCAATCACTACACTTGCAATGGACGTAATCTGTCTTAATACCCGACAGGTATTTTCAATTGTACTATTTTATATTTCCAACTTTCTTGTTCTTTAACCCCACCCGATTTAATTTCTACACTTCATTACCACTGCTACTGACTTGACCAACACTCAATTTCTAGTCATATATATGTTACGTCACCCAACTTATTAGCTCAATTTCAGTTCTAATTTAAATAGCATTATTCTCTACCCCACCTCTATTTAGTCTCTATCTGTAATTACCTGCGTTGATATCCTGACCTAAGTTGAAACATTTTAGTCAATTATATTACACTATCTAACTCACTAACTAACTCAACCTTACTTTAGTTGCTGTCTAGTTGACCTTGTTTCTATATTAGATCATTCTTGTATTACCTGATCAATTATCTAAACTTGACAAACCTCATGTACACACACACACACACAAATAATTATATGTAAATGCGATTGTACAGCTATGTGAATGAATTCGCTGTCGAAAAGAGTCTTCGCTGAAAGTCTTCTCTTTTTTCAAGCTACTAATTGTAATAAATAGAAGATAGGTATTATTATTATTATTATTGGTAACAGCTTGATTCCACACTGTATTTTTGGTACAAGTATGGAATTTTCAGCGTGGATATCGGTAGCCCAAATTTCGCAGGCCGACCATAGATATCTGGTGTGCGCTCGAACCCCGGACCATCTGCATGGTCGTCGAGAGTCCTAACCATTGTGCCACCGACGCACGTGGTAGTGGTACTTTTCTAGAAATATTCAAGGTCAAAGGTCAAATTAAAAATTACAATCTGTAATAATCTGGAAGGTTGAGTAGGAAAGATATAATAGGAGATAATTACTCAGAAGTGGCTTTAGAAGTAAAAATAAAAGTTGTAAATTACGTAGTACTCAACAAGTGTGAGGAGGGTGTGAAAATGTACAAAAGGAGCATATGACAGTGATAATAGTGAATTAATTATTCAAGTAAAACCAAATTAAAAGTAAAAATTAAAAACAAAATTTCTCACAGGGGACGACCAGTGAAGAGGTTAAGACCATGGTAAAATAAGAGACTGGACAAACATTTACTGTATACAGAGTTCAGGGTTGTATTGACGAATTGCTAACGCCTATGCCATACACATATAATGCCGAAATCTGACGCCCACTTTGTATCATTTGGCCTCACCTTGTAGATAATTTCGAAAGACGACTCTGGTGGAGCTACGTAGTTTGAGTTCACCAACAAACAGCTCGAGAATTGAGCCAGCAGCTGTCTTGCATTTTCCTTTTGCTAACTATGCCGGACAATGTTCGGAGATGCGTTTGGAAGGTGTGCGCATGTGAATTTATATACATACATTGAAGTGGTTCAAAGTGGCAGTTTATCCTTCACACATTCATCGATCATTTGTCGGCTGTGGCAATGGAATTACGAGTTTATCTCTGATTCCAACGTGAACTGGATGGAATGATGGCAGCTGTTGAACTCCTTAATTATCATTTCGATGTCAGTATTTGTTATGTACTGCTGCTAAGTGAATTATTAGAGTCTTCCCCGTCGGCAATTATGTTATGTACTCGTCGAGTAGTTAATAGTCCTGACGCGGAAAGAGGGAAATCAGAAGACCACCCGGTTTACGATGATACTTGTATTTTCCAGACAAGGAAAATAATTGTCACACAAGAGTGTGAGTGAATAAGTACGAAATGTACGGACAAGTATGTGTGTGTGACCAATAATGATAAAATGTACAATGCAAAGTATATATGAAAATGGCTAATACATATAAACCAATAAATAGACAGTCTTAACATGATTGGTTGTAATGTCATATGACAACAAGGTCATACATGTTTATTTAGTTAGCGGACAGACAAAAGCATATTGTCAGTTATAATGAAATATCTATCGATCCATATACACATAGCAAAATATAACAGACTGTCAAAAACAAACACACACATCATGTGACTACATATCAGTATTCCAGTCACATAAGAATAAAGTATCATCCATGTATCTTTGGTACAATATGGAAACTATCGATAGTAGGTTGTGTTGTTGAACTTGAACTGGACATTAATAGCGTACAGCTCAATAGTACTTCCTTTAAGTAGTGACTCGGATCACCCACGTGTTGATTTCATGAATCAAACGAAGATTTATCGATCTTTTCACTAGACAAAAATGTTTCCTTTATCCTGAATGGTAGAAAGTCTACTCAATGCAGAATTACATCACTTTGTGTTAAACAGAAAATGTCTATTTAGTCAACAGCAGATAATTTAGTGCGCATCAGTGGCATAGCGGTTAGGACGCTGGTCGACCATCTACATAGTTAGTCCGGGTTTCAAGGCCCCCCCCGCACTCACGGTCAACGTACACTTGATATATCATCAATGGTCGCGCCCTGCTGAATTAGAGCTACCCATATCTCACATACTGAAAATTCTAAATACTTGTACCCACCCAAAATACTGTGGAGAATCAAGCTATAATAAAATTAGAAAAATAAATAAAACTATATGATGAAAACTATGCCGGATAATGTCCAGAGATGCATTTATAAAGTGTGTGCTTTGTGCGGCCAATAAAACTAGCTCCACACGAACAGGTGAATTAATAAACCCCCAAGGGGATGTGGTAGGAAATAGCCGTCGATTGTCGATAGTAGTGTTACTGAAGATAACTGCTACCGCCACCAATAATTTAACAATTCACGCATCAGAAATATTGTAAAAATCGATCAGCATCGTGTTTCCCCAATCAAATGCCTATCGATATCTGCCTACTGTCCAGGTGACAGAACATGCATCCCTGGAATCCTGTGGAGTGTGTTCAACCTCGTAACTCAGAAAAGTTGAATGAAATCGAGTAACATATCAGAAAAAACTACCAACAGTTACTGAGAAATAATCTAACGATAGTAAATAGTATTGTAGTGAGAACAGGCTGCCAGCCAATAGGTAGATATTAATTTACGTCAATGTCTAGGTCACTAATATTGGCCGTGAGAAAATATAAACAAGGCTGATTCAGACTTAACGTGGGCAAATAAGATTCGCAGATAGATGGCCTCACTTTCCGAGGGACCCGAAAACAACCAATCAGAAGACTGCGTTTGTCTGCTTGAATAAGCTATAATAATGTACAGGAAATATATATAAATACGCGCTGATTTCCGTAATAAAACCATCTGTTGCCTGGCCCTTGTCTTTTGTTGTTACACTATAAATGAAAGTATATTATACGTTTTAAAAAAAATTAACACGAACTACCAACTATTTCAGTGTACCTGAATAACACCACTCACCCAACGCTGTTCTTCTGTAATCCCTACTACTCGACTGTCATTTGAAATATTCCTTGATTTTCTAACAGAAGACCGAAGTAGACGAGATGTTGGAGTATTAGAATTTGAAGAGACATCAGAATTTCTGCAGAGAGAAAAAGAAAAGAAAAGGAAGGGTACTTTACTGAACTTTGATCTCGATAGTTCTAATTCTTTTGTATTCATCAAGAGCTGATAGCTAATGGTTCTCTAACTGATGTCAGCTTATCACGATGAAATCCTCCAACCAATCCAACAAAATTCCCTACAGAACCAATACTTGAAAACTCATCTGATACTCACTAGCGACTGGCCCTAATCAGGCAGTTACCTGGAGTTGTAATGGGAAGCAGTAACCAGTAGGGTGCAGCAGGTTGAAGACCAGACAGTAACCCATCGAAGAAGACATTTCAAAGTGGTCGTGCTGCGTCATGAATTGTTAGAAGTTAGAATTCATGGGCTGGCCATTGAATCGGAATCCTAGTGGCTCAATGGTCTACGAGCTAGCTCGCCTGGTAACCAGAAGGTCCTGAGTCTGAACCCCGCGTTGTGGGTGCGTTCTGATCAAGAGTTCCAAACTAGGACAATGGCAACAGCTGTCCAGTACTTCCAGCTGATTTTCCAATGGTTCTCTGACTGATGTCAGCTTATAATGAAATCCTCCAAAGAGGGAAATAATATCGTCGAATTTCAATAAAAATAACCTTATAAATAGTCACTACAGGTGTCGGCGGCACAGCAGTACATTGAATGCTCGCCAACCACGCCTTATGTGGTGAGAGGTTTGATCCCTACCCCCGACCGACGCACTCTTTTACCTCGCTAAGCCAGTAGCAATAAGACAGGTAAAGAAAGGTAGGTTGAGCATGAGGCTAGCAACCCCATCCATCTCGTGAAAATAAACACTAATGCTACCGAAACTTAAAGCCTCTAGCTTGAAGCCCTCCTTATGTTCCACTGGGAATGTAAAGGAATTCTGCTGACAATCATCAAATCTGATATTTTTTTAAATTTTTTTTTTGATTTACAGCTTGATTCCACACTGTATTTTCGGTAGAAGTATAGAATTTTCAGCATGGATATCGGTGGCCCAAATTTTGCAGACCGACTATAGATATCAGGTGTGAGTCGGCAGAGGATCGAACCTCGGACCATGTGCATGGTCGGCGAGAGTCCTAACCACTGTGCCACTGACGCACAGCAGAGTACATTATATCATCATTGAGTTGAAGTAGTCATCTGATAGTTGTAATTTTTATAACTTTCCAATCTATTAGATCCTTTACAAGGTATTATTACAACAAACTAACGTTCTCATAATGATCATAACTCCCTCCAAATAATTTAAAGTCACGTTAAAATTGATTAAACTGACCGCATAATATAATACAGCAAACCACTCCATTATGAATAAAATTTTATTTTGATAAAGTCACACACAGTGGTGTTATGCAGTAATGTTTACTGATGACCACGTTTGGAGCACAATTTACATTTGCTATTCATAATAATATCAAAGCATGACTCATACAACTCTCCAGCTTTGTTTATATCATTCCATTACTATATTGCATCTCTTGACTTGATCGATGGTAGTATTTTTTTTTCTATATTTCCGGTATGAGTGATGAGTCATTCTTATTGCACGTGCTGAGTGTAGACTAGATGAACAAAGAATCAGTAATCGATCTTTGTCTCTCTCTCTCCACCAACCTATATTAATTCTCGTATTACCTATACCATACATATATATACCTATTGTGTGGGTGTGTTAATGCATGCAGTACAATTGTTGAGTTCTTTTCTAAATTAATTATTATTTCTAAGTGATTTTAGAGTCGTGTGAAGTCCCGTGTGAAGTGGTATAATAAGGTGAGCCTCAGGATGGTCGGGGGTGGGTGCCTTGCGCTGCGGGTTGGCCACCCCTCCGCACACCTCTTGAAATGCTCCCATATGACCGGGCGTCTTACATAGCCTCTCCTGAGGAAGTCCTACTCACTGCCTTCACGTGGCGGAGGTGTTTCTCACCAAAGTGAGAGGGCGAAAGCGGATGCCCGGCGCTCTCCACCGGGTTGACTGTCCATTGGATGACGGTCTAGGGGAGATGGCTAAACCCTGATTCCAAACCTCCAACGACTGGCGTATGAAGCTCACTGGAGCTCACCGGCAGACGTATGGACAAAGGGCTTGTTGGATGTCCTGGATGTCTGGCCCCATTCAAAAAGGCGTATGAACCGAACTCCGATCACCGGCTGCCAATGGATAGTGGACTCCTTACTCCACTCCTACTGCCTTGTAGGTCACACTTGGCTGTGTAAAGGCTAGAGCTGCACTCTCAAACAAAAGGCCGAGCGATGCTGGGGACATCACTCGTACCAAATTCCCATGAAACTTCATGAACTCTCTTACAAATTGCCGCGCCTGGGCAGCGATGATTCGAGACGTTCATGAAGCCGGCTCATCCTCCCGTAGGAGATAGCCGAAGTAAAGTAAAGTAAAGTAAGTGAGCAATACTGAGGTTAGGTGTTGAGTGCTAGGTAAGGAGAGGAAATCAATCGACAAGGCTGTGAAGCTACATCAACTGAGATGGTTAGGACATGTGTTACGGATGCCTAGTCATCGCCTTCCTCGACTAACGGGCAATGTTAGCTGATATAGGATGGGTCAGGCTGGAAAAGAGCTAGGAGCGGTCAAACCAAAACATGGCACCAGTCGACGAAATCCACAACAGTTAGAATAAGCCACGTAGGGAGGTGTAGGCTTCCTGACTGGTCGAGGTCCTCAGGACGGTAAAATCCAATGGTTGGAAGCTATTGGTGACATGGCTCGAAATCGTTCTCAATGACACTGCTGATGCATCCACTCCTTGTGACTTATGATTTCCAATGAAACTATATTGTTCTTCGATATTACTATTCCTTTGTCTCACACCTCTATTTACCGTCTCTGTTATGCATTTCTTCTACTTTCTTCTGTTGCTTTGTGTGCTACATGGAGTGTGGTGACATGAACTGATGCACATATGTGCAAAGTTCTATGTCGAAAACAAACAGACAGAGACGTAGTTCAGTAATCTGAGCGGCCTGCTCCACCTATCGTAACATATATATTAAACTGTCAGAAAGCTAATATGACTCACAATTCTTCTATAGGGCAATTAATATGTATTATGAGGATAAAAGTGCGTCGGTAGCATGGCGGCTAGGACGCCTACCGACCACTCACGTTGTCCGGCATTCGATTGCCGCCCGGCCGACGCACTCCTTTACCTCGCTAAGCCAAAAATAATGCTGGTAAAGAGGAAAGGTTAGGCATGAGGCGGCTAGCAACCCCATTCTGTAAAATAAACACCACTGCTACAGAAACTTCAAGTCAATAGCTTGAAGCCCTACGTTTCACTGGGAAAACGTGAAGGAAAAAAATAAAGATAAAACTTGGGCACTGTGGTGGTAGAGTATAACTCCACTACAGATAAGATTTTATTCTGATAAAATCACACAGTGGTGTTGTACAGTAATATTTACTGATGTCCACGTTTCGGGCACAATTTATTACTGCTCATAATCATATATATATATATATATATATAGTCTTAAATCCCAGGTCAAAACATATGGACAACCAGAAGGTGTAGCAATGGGTTGGATCACAAAAACCCCCTATTGGAGCAGACATCACTAGACAAGTCCTCAAGTGGAACCCGAAAGGCAAGCGGCGAGTTGGTCGTAAGCGTGAGGGTGACTTGAAGGAGGTCATGTGAAGAGGAGATGAAAGCATGTGGGCAGACTTGGAGAGGGGTGAAGAAGTTGGCAGAAAACCGAAGACAATGGAGACGCGCAGCTGAAACCCTATGTTCCTCTAGGAATTAAACGATATAATAAAAATAATAATAATTGGAGCAGACATCTTTATAAACAGCTGGGAAAGTATTGCTCTAAATACATTTAATGCTAATCCAAAAATATGGTGGAGATATGTGGATGACACTTTCACAGTGTTGAAAACAGAACATATCTCTAACTTCTTGACACAAATAAACTCACTAGTGGAGGGAATAAAATTCACATGTGAAGCGGAAAATGAACAAGGAGAATTAGCCAGCGTGTTAGATTGCAAAATAAAACGAATAGAAGAGGGTAAACTATACACTAGTGTGTACAGAAAACTAACTCGTTCTAATAGATACTTAGGCTTTAATTCATCTCATCCGTTAACTATTAAGGCAGGCTTAGTTAAGTGTCTAATAAACCGAGCAATAGCACTAAGTAGTACAACAAAAAACCGAAGTGATGAAATGAAATAGATAGAGGGAGAGGCGTTGGTGTCAAATAGCTATCCTATAAAACTCATTAGGAAGATCAAAACAGGCCGAAAGCAAAATAAAAATAATTGTAGAACTAATAATGATAACATAAATAAGAGAGAATAGATGGTATCTAAAGTTCTACCATATGAGAAAGTAATATCTGAAATCCGATGTAGGATTCGAAATAAACCAGGAATTAGAGTGGCATTCAAACCTACAAACTCACTCAATGAGGACAAGCTCTGTAGGCCAAAGGACCCGGTGGATCCAATTAAACAAAATAATATAATTTACAAAATACGTTGGGACAACTGTGAGCTCAATTGCATAGGTGAAACTAGCATATCAGGATTAGTGAGATTATCAGAACATAAGAATTTAGTGGCTAAGGTAAGAATGGTTGAGCCTGCCCGAGAAGTTAAGTAATTTAGAAAAAAGGCTCAGCAATTGCACTGCATGCGTGCATTAACACACAACTACACACTAGAGTGGGAGAGGGTTAAGATTCTAAAAAGTAATCTAAGTAAGTGGAGAGAGAGGTTGATTACTTAATCCTTGTTCATCGAATCTACAAGCAACACGTGCAACAGAAGTGACTCAACGCAAATACCAGAGATATGGAAGATGTTATTATCACCAATCAGCCAAATCAGAGGAGAATAATAGATAATGTTAAAATGTATTCAATTCACATTATAACATTCTAACAAGCTACTTATTTATTTTACTAAAAAACCATCTTATTTCTCATCTTACTGTATTTTATTGATAACACTAATATTATTTCCGAATGTACATTA